CACAACTTCGTAAATGCTGTTTTAACTCTCAACTTTAAAATCGGAGAGGAAAAACGTGCAGATTTAATTTGATGTTCACAGACATTTGTTTTCTGAGAGGATATTTTTATCAGACACGAGGCCGCAAGTCAAGGAGCTCCTGACCGCATTCCTATTGTGTGTGTGTGTGTGTGTGTGTGTGTATTTGTCCCCTTCCTGATTTCTTATTCTTTTGCATGTTTGTCACACAAAATGTTTCCGATCATCAAACACATTTAACCATTAGTCAAAGATAACACAAGTAAACACAAAATGCAGTTTTGAAATGATGGTTTTTATTATTTAGGGAGAGAACAAAATCCAAACCTACATTGCCCTGTGTGAAAAAGTAATTGCCCCCTGAACCTAATAACTGGTTGGTCCTCCCTTAGCAGCAACAACTGCAATCAAGCGTTAGCGATAACTTGCTACGAGTCTTTTACAGCGCTCTGGAGGAATTTTGGCCCACTCATCTTTGCAGAATTGTTGTAATTCAGCTTTATTTGAGGGTTTTCTAGCATGAACCGCCTTTTTAAGGTCATGCCATAGCATCTCAATAGGACTCAGGTCAAGACATTGACTAGGCCACTCCAAAGTCTTCATTTGTTGTTCTTCAGCCATTCAGAGGTGGATTTGCTGGTGTGTTTTGGGCCATTGTCCTGCTGCAGCACCCAAGATCGCTTCAGCTTTATTTGACGAACAGATGGCCGGAATTTCTCCTTCAGGATGTTTTGGTAGACAGTATAAATCATGGTTCCATTTATCACAGCAAGCCTTCCCGTTCCTGAAGCAGCAAACCAACCCCAGACCATCACACTACCACCACCATATTTTACTGTTGGTATGATGTTCTTTGTCTGAAATGCTGTGTTACTTCTATACCAGATGTAACGGGACTTTTGCCTTCCAAAAAGTTCAACTTTTGTCTCATCAGTCCACAAGGTATTTTCCCAAAAGTCTTGGCAATCACTGAGATGTTTCTTAGCAAAACTGAGACAAGCCCTAATGTTCTTTTTGCTTAACAGTGGTTTGCGTCTTGGAAATCTGCCATGCAGCCATTTTTTCCCAGTCTCTTTCTTATGGTGGAGTCGTGAACACTGACCTTAATTGAAGCGAGTGAGGCCTGCAGTTCTTTAGAAGTTGTCCTGGGGTCTTTTGTGACCTCTCGGATGAGTTGTCTCTGCGCTCTTGGGGTAATCTTGGTCGACCGCCCACTCCTGGGAAGGTTCACCACTGTTCCATGTTGTTGCCATTTGTGGATAATGGCTCCCACTGTGGTTCGCTGGAGTCCCAAAGCTTTAGAAATGGCTTTATAACCTTTACCAGACTGATAGATCTCAATTACTTTTGTTCTCATTTGGTCTTGAATTTCTTTGGATCTTGGCATGATGTCTAGCTTTTGAGGTGCTTTTGGTCGACTTCTCTGTGTCAGGCAACTCATATTTAAGTGATTTATTGATTGAAACAGGTGTGGCAGTAACAGGCTTGGGGGTGGCTACAGAAATTGAACTCAGGTGTGAAACACCACAGTTGGGTTATTTTTTTAACAAGGTGGGCAATTACTTTTTCACACAGGGCAATGTAGGTTTGGATTTTGTTCTCTCCCTAAACAATAAAAACCATCATTTCATAACTGCATTTTGTGTTTACTTGTGTGATCTTTGACTAATGGTTAAATGTGTTTGATGATCAGAAACATTTTGTGTGACAAACATGCAAAAGAATAAGAAATCAGGAAGGGGGCAAATAGTTTTTCACACCACTGTACGTTCACAGATAGCGTGTCCTGACTCCTGTCCTCCTTCATGTGTTCCAGGTGGAATCGCCGGCCCGCTGCAGAGCCGTGAGGACTCCCTGAAGCGCTGCAGCACCACCGGGTCGTTTGGGGAAAAACTGCACGATTTCAGCCCAGCTGGTCGGGCGAACGGCTCCTCCACTCAGCGTTATGGATTAATCTCTGGCCAGATCAGAACCAACCAAAACTGGATGCTTAGCCTCGCGTGTCCTAAAATTCCTGCCTGTGATAAACCAGGATAGAGAGGATTGGATGTGACCCACATCTGGGCTGCTTTCATGTACGGTATTACCTGACTCTTTATGAAAATATGTGTTACTATTTATATCGCACCGTCTCTTTTTCATCACGCGTTCCTCTCCTCTAATAACCTACTGAGGTTTCAAATCCCACCATCCTGCTGCAGAGGTTTCCAGATGACCTCTGACCTCCAGACTGACTCAAATGTTTTCATCCTGCTGAGGAGGAAGCTGTCTTGACAGTTCTAAATTTTACTGGTGATTTCCATAAATAATTTGCAATAAATGTGACAGGAGGTTGTTTTTTTATTATCACACAAAAGAGTCCAGGCATCACAGATTAGACTTGACAGGAACGTTGGAAATAAATCAGATTTGTACCTCTGCTCTCAGCTCAGGGGTCAGAGACGGCTGACCTTATGCTAACTAAAGCCGAACTCTTCTTTACAGGCGTGTTCTGAATTTACTGCAACAATAATAAAAAACAGGCTCTGGCCTTTAAAATAAGCTGGAAACCAAATTCTGCTTCTCGGATTGTTGTCTTGCTTTTCCAGATGTAAGTCTGAGGTGGAAATCTTTCCATGTTTACGTGCAGCTATGTTCTTAAACGGCTTTATTTAGGTTATGTAAACAACGTTTCATCACTACAAAGGCAGGTTCGTCCTTTCATGGAGGAGTTTACGAGCACTTTCTGCCTTACAACCATGCACTTGTGAGCAAGTGAAGCCTTTAATGTGCAATTGCCATCTAACACAAACACGATGATGTCAGACACTACATGTACCGTTCTCTCTGTTCAAAGGCCTTTGTGATAATATATTTTAATGCACTTTATCAAAGACTCCTTGTTTTAGCATCCACGCTCACAAACACTCTCTACTGTTTGATATCCAGGGTGTATAATGGAGACGCTGGTGTTTAGGTGCTTTGTGTGAGAAAATCTGCAGACCTCTGATCACAGGCCTGTCGCTCCACTAATGATGACTAAACCTCCTCCCTGGTGTGTGTTTTGGATTGTAATCAACACATCTGCAGCCCTGGATGCTAAATCACTCTGTCTTCCTGGAGTGAATCACTCTGCTCTGGTTTGTTGCCTTTTTGAGTTTTGCAATCACGCTCCCGTGAAGCCATGAGACTCCCATGACCTCTCTTACGTTTCAGCTCTCTTGGCATCTAAATTTACCAGAGTGACGGCAGTAATTCTCACTGTGGTCAGGAATACAATCAATCACTGGGGGTTACTATAAAAGTCCATGTTGCAATCCTGTGACGCGCGGTGGGAGTCACGCAGGGTTTGAGAGTTGATTCCTGTGAATCCTGTAAAGTTCATGCTCTGGGTTATCTATTCCACCCACACACTGTAAATAAAGGCTAACGAAGTCGCCTCTGGGCAGATGACATGAGGGCATGTTACCTTTGTTTGCAGGTGACATTGCCACTTTCTGACTAAAGGAGTATTGTACATGTACATCACCTGCTCGGCACCTTTTATTCGGAGACCAAACACAAACGAGGAGACCCCTAACGCATACTGATTTGTTTAAATACAAGAGCCTCTCTTCCAACTAAGTTAATATAGAACCTAACGGAACATCGACTGAAAATGAATCGCTGTGATCTCTGAATAAAGGAGAGATCACACTGTTTGCTTAAAGGACCTCGGCTATTCTCATAGATCACGATTAAACTTAATTTGCTCGCTGTGGTGCAGTTAGAGAATGTTTAATCCAACTCTGCAACATTTGCAGCTGCTTCTGTGAGAGGTTTGCAGCCCAAACTTAAATTTTATATCAGTTAACCTGAGAAAAGTGGAAATGAATGCCCTAAACGATTAGATGTGATTTCTAAACATGGTTGTGTATTCCATCAGCTGTCAGGCAGCACTCCCTCCTCTGGAGCACTAATGCAGCTAAAAGAAGCTGTTCCAACCTGAATGACTTGCTTTTATTACCTGCAGGCAAATTCTCAGTGTTTTTATTTACCCACAGGAACAAGAGGTGCTGAACACAACTAAAACCAGCTGCTGAATCTCTCTCTCTCTCTCTCTCTCTCTCTCTCTCTCTCTCTCTCTCTCTCTCTCACACACACACACACACACACACACACACACACACACACACACACACACACACACACACACACACACACACACACACACACACACACACACACACACACACACACACACACACACACACACACTTTACATAAGGGTTTCTTTATTAACTTTACTTAGTGCATTATCATTATTAAGCATGAATAAACCCGTTATTGGTAACTATTACATGTCCTTAAGGTTAGGACAAAGGGCCAGGTTTTTTTGTTTAATAATGCATTACCTAATATTAACATCCGTTTTAAACAGTTGTTAACACTTTATTAATGCTTAATAACGCACCAAGTAACGTTATTAAATGACCTTTATTGGAAAGTGTTACCTTTACATATTTAGAGGGAGACTTTTAAAACCGTTTCAGTGTTTTTGCACTTTTTCTAAAGTCTTTGATGTTGTTTTGCGTTTCCTTTCGTCGTTTTTCCCTTTTTAAATTTTTTGGCTCAGGTAATTCTCGCACCTACCCTCCTCACGAGGAAGGGTGATATTGATAACTTTACAAACGCGACATAAACGGTCCATGTTTTTCCAGACCAGGAAAACTCGGTGGAAGGGATCGGATTTCCTTTTCTCTACCGTGATGGAACTTCATTCCATTGTGTATCCATGCTCCAGCGATACACACATCTCACGGGTTACTTTACTCCGTCCTTTACTATCTTGATGTTTTTAACACAGGTAACTATCTCGACATGATGTCGCGGAGCAACAATAAAGCAACATAAATAATAGATCGTGTAGTTTAGTGACTTAGATTCTATTTTACTAGAAAGCGCGGAAGGATACGACAGCACTGGGGTGTTCTTTGACCTATATAAAACCGCCGCCATCTTCCATTTCCCAGACTCTGCCGTTCGGGCTGCGGTCATCGTCTGTCAGTGTCTGGCTGCGGAGGAGTGGATGAGGGCTCCCCGCTGACGTCCAGCTGCATATTTTTCTCGAGTTTCTTTATTTCTTCCTTATCGAAGTGGGTTTTATTCTCCGGAAACCAAGTGGACGTATTTGCTGTATTGACAAGGGTAGGCATTAAACTCTCGGCTGTTGTATTTGCTTCACCCGTTCTCCTGTCCGGCTCTGTGAAGAACACCACCGGGAACGGTTGTTGAATGCCGGGGACGGTTCTGTGCCGCAGCTAGCGAGTCCGCCGCGTCCCCCGGGCAAGCATCTGGGATGTGTCGGCCATCGGCTGCTGGGAACGAGCTCTCTCACCCACCTTAGTGCTGGTATGAGGTCTTGGTGTCGTTTTTGCGAACCGAACTTCTGGAGTATATTTTACCTTTCGGTTATTCGGGAGCGGAACGCGCTGGACTTGAAGAGTTTTGGTGGCGCTAGCTTAAATGTTGGTCCCGACCACATTCCTCCATTCTGACTCACGGTTGGGCTTCTGGAGTTTTTGCAGCTGTTGGAGCCCCGCAGAGGGTGGGCAGACCTGCGGGAGTTTAACCCAAACTTCACCGATAACGTCTGCTCCGTGACGTCAGTCTGGTTTGCGTTTACGGTAATGTCGTTATTTCACCTGAAGTTTGAAGCGGACTTTAGCCCGGGTGTTAGTTCGCTGTTTTCCTCTCGGGGTTTTAAACAAAGGGCGACTAAATTCCTCCAAAACCGACGAGGAGGAGCCACGCTGTGAAACCCGAGTCGATGTCGGGGCAGAGAGGAGTCTGGGTTGGCTTTGTTAAAGGGCAGAGCCGCTGTTTTATCGCGCCGTTTCAGGTGTGATTGACCTGAGGACACGTGTGGTAAATGTTTAATCTTCCTTCTTAATCAGAACCTCCTAGTGGGTTATAAACAACAGCCACCGCGCTTCCGATGAATTTCAGACTTAACATTAAAATAAGTGGCAGTTCCTGCTGCTGTAAAACCCCCCACCAGAAAACCGACGTCCTCAGCGTGTTGTGACGTTTTTCAGGCGGAAACGTGGGTGTTAGGTCTGATAACGTGAGCGGTGTGTTCAGAGGCAGAACCCCGATCTCTTCCCGGATCGCTGCGGGTTCCTGCCTCTGCTGAACGTCTAGAGTTAGTGATAAACACGTGACTGCTCCAGACAGGTAGACCTGCTGCAGATGCTTTCTCCGCGTTAGCCCACATCGACAGTTTTGGCTGCACTCCTGGTGCTTTTGTCCAGGAGTGACTCAGATGAGACTGGATAGTTTTCTTCTTGAACACGTTTACCAGAAAATAATCCTAAATGAAGAAACGCGTGTCTGCAGGACAAAGGATGGATGTTTTAGGCCAGAGGCGTGGAGGTTAATTTGGACATCGTTTACCCCAAATGAGATAATTTTTAATTACTAGAAGGCTTTACTTTCTACTCGTGTGTTTCTGTAAAATGTACTGGTTTGGTTTCCAGGTGGAGGTGATGCCTGCTAAATTATTCACCTTTTATTTAGCTTAATACTGGAAGCATTTTCTTAACCTGCTTTCGTGTTATGTTGTTGTCTGGTTTAAAGTCATTGGTTGGTTTTGGTTGGTTGTTGCTTGGCACCTGGACACGCCCACTGTGCGTTAAGAGGCTCATAATAAAGCCAGATGTGTAAGCCCGAACCCGCAATGGAAACATTTAGTTAAATAAAGTCAGCTGCAGCACATCTGCCTCTGGCTTTGGGATGAAGGAGCTGTGCTCTGTGTGCCGGTAGCTTCAGCTCTGGTTGAGTTATGATTTCATGAACACGTGTGTGTGTGTGTGCGTGCGTGCGCTGGAGTGGTCCAGCCGCTCATACCTGTTAGATGGACTTACCTGAGCATAGCCAGAGGTGATGTTTTCCTTTGCTTCACTGCCTAGGACAGTCCCCTCTCTGGGGGCTGGTGTGTGCAGCAGTAGGCATCTGGTTTCTATTATGTGGATCTTAGCGGCACCAGGCACAAGTCTACATATTAGATTTTACATCTGGCTTCAAAGAGCCCCGTCGTTCAGGCGGCCAGCGTGGTCTCCAGCAACTCTTACTGAAACTGCCTCACTTCTTGCTTCAGCTGAAGGTCAGAATTAGCAGGAAACAGAGCAGTTAGGGTTTTAAAGGAACCACTAATGTGAATCATAAACATTTCCACTGTGTGTTTGATTTATCCAGGCCTGTAGAGACATGTGGCTCCCATTAGGACTGTGCTGGGTGGGTTATATGGGGGCAGGAGGATGGCGTGTGAACAGCAAATTAGAGTTGGAGCGTTAGTGGTTTGAAGCGGCGGCCTGGACTTGATTCACTGTTTTAGTCACTCCGTTGGGCTCAGATGGTGTGGTTCTGCTTGGACGTCTCCAGCAGACTGGATTAGAGCAGCCTGTGAGGACATTTCCTGTTAGTCTCCGGTTAAACCGTCTTGACGGCATCTTTAGGGGGCAGAATGAGAAACGAACAGATCTGTTCAATAAAAAGACCCAGTTTCAGTGTTTGCGTCGTCTCCTCTGGACGTTTAAACAGACATCAGTACAAACACAGTTAACATGACAAAACCCAGATCCATGAGTTCTCGTATCGGATTTGATGCATTTTAGCTGTTGTCACTGGAAGCCACACCTTTCTGCCCCGAGGGAAACACCGATGATGCAATCTGCCTCGATGCTTCTCGGCTCTTTATTAGGTTCAGTCAGGATTTACTAATGTGAACAGTTCCAGCTCAGACCCCAGCAGTAAAGCCTCGTGTTGGGATTATTTTAGTCCTGGATTTGTTGTTTCCACTGAGGCTGGAGTAGCTAGATTAGCATTGGTTGGTTGTCTCTGCTGCTGCGGGAAGGATCGTGCCGCTGGTCGACCCGTGGCTGGAGGATAATAAAGCCCCGGCTCTGGAGCATTTAGCTGTTTCTTTCATTCTGACAGAGTCATAATTGTTGCAGAAGCACAGATCCATATAACTTTGGATCTATTTCAGCTGGAAGGGCTGCAGCTTTTCGACCCCCTCCAGATGTTCTGGAGGGGGTCGAAAGCAGCATTCCCTGCCAGGATAACCTTTGGGATAAAATGTTCCGTCAGATTTCATCCGCAGCAGTCATGCAACAGGTGTAGAGCCGAGGGCCGCGTTCCCCTTCTGCAGCTAATTATAGTTTACAGCAGAACTTCCTCTAAATGGGATGCAGCCTCTCTTTACAACCCGATGGCTGTGATGGTCTCTAGTAAATCCAGTTACTAACCCTAACCCCAAACAGAAATGTGACCGTAGATTTATGCTGTAGGATCAGGATGGAGTGCCTGTTTCAGGTTTCCCGCTCGCTGATGGCTCATGGGCTCGTTACCAGATGAATCAGATCTTCTCTCCTGGCTCATCCCTGTGTTCCCAACGCTTGAGCAGTTTCTAAACCACAGGTGTCAAACTCAGGCCCTTGGGCCAAATTTGGCCCGCAAGATCAGATATGTATTAAAACTGGCCCGCTGGACAATTTTGCCACAAAGACTACAAATCCCATAGTACTTTGCAACCTTAGCACGTCTGTCGAAGCACCTGTCCTTTCTGTTTACATTCATTAGCATCCACACTAGTACTGTTAGCTCCTCAGTCTCGGACAAACTGAAAACACTCCTCTTACTCGGCGCTGTCAGCCTGACTCTGTAGCTGCTGCAGTGTTTAACCTCATTTCTGTTTTAGGTAAAACCTAAACCAGAAATACTTAAAAGATTCTAAATGATTTTAAAAATGCTGTGTGTGTGTATATATATTTACACACACACACACACACACACACACAATTTAGGGAATAAAAAAAAGAGACATAAGTGATGAACACCACTGATGTGCTTTATTTAACTCATTCACTGCCAGCCGTTTCCTGATCGCTAACGGCCTTCGCTGCCAGCGTTTCTCACCGTTTTTACTGTTTTTTTAAGAGTCACAGAACGTTGCGCGCTAGCATGATGTCGATGCCAAAACAACCAAAACAAAGAGGAGACTCACCTCTTACATCAGGAAGAGTCCGTATGTTTCGAGCGTTATCCTTTCTTTCATAATCCGTTGTCGAATTGTGATCGGCAGACGCTTTTCCAGTTCACGCCTCACTTTTTTTACAGGAACGGCCCAAAACGATCTAACACAAGGATGTGTTGTTTCCTGATCATGTGATCTGTGACGTATGCGGATGAAGATCGGCTTCAGGGCTGAGATGTTTGTTCTCTCAGCGCGGGGGCTCGTTCCAATGCTCAAACAGTAAAAAAATGCAAATGACGACTTTAGTCGTCATTGGCAGTGAATGAGTTAAAATGGATTTGCTCGTGTGTGATGTGGTTATTCCACATTCGGTGTTTCTGCAAAAGTAGGTTGATTTCCAAATGAAAAGGTTCAACCGTACAGATCTGTAGATAAAAGTAAATGTGCACATTTATCGTCACTTTTTCAATAAATATTGAGTTTGGCCTGCGACTTCTTCCCAGTTTTTGATTTCGGCCCAGAGGGAGTTTGACACCCCTGGTTTAAACCGTCTGGTTTCCATCTGGACCAGGTGTATGTTGGTGTGTGGGACTTCCCTCTGAGCTCTTAATTTAGTTTATTATCTAGTAAAATTCCCAAACGTGTTTAGGATGAAAGCGTTAACTGAGCTGCTGTTCCCCTGATGAGCTGCTGATCTAGTGGGGGTGGAAGTCTTACAACAACTTACGATTCAAGTAGACTCGACGATTCTCATCATCACCATCCTAAACCAGTAACACCAGTAGTGTGTATTTAGTTTAAGGCTTCCGGACAGGATAGATTCAGAATCTTTTCTTAATGAATCAGAATCACGTTTGACACGTGAATCTATTTTTCCCAACACCTCTGACATCAAACGCCTGATTCTCCTCTTCAGGTGAACTCATCACAGTGTTCAGTCAACACAAACAAAGTTATTTAGATAAACGGGGAGAATGCTTAGCTCAGTGTGTATGACCTCTAACACACACACTTTAATGGGTAAATGGCTTTCCACACAGATAGCTGAGTCTCCATGTCAGAGGCGTGGTTACAGCGGTGTGTTGGGCTTCTCCTCTCTGGCATGTTGTCTGAAAAGTCCGTTTCGGAATAACGAACCTCTGATGAAAGGATTTAAACTCCAAGCTCAGAGACCTTTGTTGTCATAACATTTATCTTTCTGCATGAATTCTTTTCTCTCCAAATGAATCTGTTTAGCCTCTGCTGCCATTTCCAGTATTTTCTTTGGTGCCGAGGTTTCAGCTTCAAAGCCAGAGCAGGAATGTGTGCCCTCCTCCTCCACTTCCCTCGCCCTCCCTCGCTTAGATAGTCAGTAGCTGCTGCTGTTAATGGAGGCTTTTGTGAGAGCCGGGGCGGTCGGAGGGAACGACGCTGGTCTGGACCGTGACTGATGTGAAGTAGATGAAGGAAGTTATTTTCCTCCTTCTCCTCTCTCCCACAGGTCAGGAAGCTGTGTTGGCTGTGGTTTGAGAAAGGAACATGGCTTCCCAAGGTGAGTCTTTTGTGTTCACGTGCACAGATGCTGTTGCACGTCTAGATTTATGTCCTCATTAAAGCACGGTGAATTAGAAATTGATTTACATCTGAGACTTTGGTCTTGTGTGAAATGAAATTAGCTGCTTCAGGCGGTGATGCAGCTGGTTACATCCATGTAGTCCCCTGCAATAACCCCGACTCCACGGTGCTTTTGTCTCCAACAGCTGATCTGATGGAACTGGACATGGCCATGGAGCCTGACCGTAAAGCAGCAGTCAGCCACTGGCAGCAACAGTCCTACCTAGACTCAGGCATCCATTCAGGAGCCACCACAACGGCCCCTTCCCTCAGTGGGAAGGGCAATCCAGAGGAAGATGATGTGGACAACAACCAGGTCATGTACGAGTGGGAGCAGGGCTTCAACCAGAACTTCTCCCAGGACCAAGTACAAGGTGAGGTGTAGCTCTGCCTGTTCTCCAGACCTCCATAAGGCTTCGCTTACGATGCTCCTGTCTTCCAGACATAGATGGTCAGTATGCCATGACGCGGGCTCAGAGGGTTCGGGCAGCCATGTTTCCAGAGACTCTTGAGGAGGGCATGCAGATCCCCTCCACACAGTACGACACTGCAAACCCCACTAACGTCCAGAGGCTGGCCGAGCCGTCGCAGATGCTCAAACACGCCGTGGTAAATCTGATCAACTATCAAGACGACGCGGAGCTCGCTACCAGAGCAATACCGGAACTCACCAAACTACTCAACGATGTGGACGAGGTATTTCTGGGTGGAACCGTGACCGTCAGGTCGTCATTCTGCTCTTACTTCATGACTTTTTTCTTCTAGGTTGTTGTAAACAAAGCAGCAGTGATGGTCCACCAGCTGTCAAAGAAAGAAGCCTCCCGCCACGCCATCATGCGCTCCCCTCAGATGGTGTCTGCCATCGTCAGGACCATGCAGAACACGAGTGACATCGAGACGGCTCGCTGCACCGCCGGAACGCTGCACAACCTCTCCCACCACAGAGAGGGGCTGCTGGCCATCTTCAAGTCCGGAGGGATCCCAGCTCTAGTGAAAATGCTCGGGTACGTCTACAGAGGAATCTGCGGGTATCTGCCTGCTCGTGTTTTCATCTGACAGTTGTGTCCGTTACAGCTCACCGATAGATTCAGTTCTGTTCTACGCCATCACCACCCTCCACAACCTCCTCCTGCACCAGGAAGGAGCCAAGATGGCTGTTCGCTTAGCTGGCGGGCTACAGAAAATGGTGGCTCTTCTCAGCAAAACTAATGTAAAGTTCCTGGCCATCACCACCGACTGTCTCCAGATACTGGCCTATGGAAACCAGGAGAGCAAGGTGAGGGTCAGAGGGTCACAGGGTTAGACGTAGGGGTGATGACTCCACCTAACCTCGTGTTGTTTGTGTAGCTCATCATCCTGGCGAGCGGCGGTCCTCAAGCACTGGTCAACATAATGAGGACCTTCACCTACGAGAAGCTTCTGTGGACCACAAGCCGTGTTCTCAAAGTTCTGTCGGTGTGTTCCAGTAACAAACCCGCCATAGTAGAAGCCGGTATGTGTCCTGGGCATCTGGAGTATGAGCGCACCGCGTTTATGTTGTCACTAACACTGTTGGTCCTCTCAGGAGGTATGCAGGCTCTGGGACTACACCTGACCGATCCCAGTCAGAGACTGGTCCAGAACTGTCTGTGGACCCTCAGAAACTTATCAGACGCTGCCACCAAACAGGTGAAGAGAAGCCCAGCTGTGGGCTACGTGTTTTTAAACACTTACTTATTCCACTAAACCCTCACCCTGTTGCTCTCCAGGAGGGAATGGAGGGTCTTCTAGGAACTCTGGTCCAGCTGCTCGGCAGCGATGACATCAACGTGGTGACCTGTGCTGCTGGCATCCTGTCCAATCTGACCTGCAACAACTTCAAAAACAAGATGATGGTTTGTCAGGTCAGGTGACTGTCGGACGTGGAAAGTCGTGTTTTCAGAAACCTGCTGCTCCCGGATTTTAAACCCGCCGCCGTGTCTGTACCCCTTCAGGTTGGAGGTATCGAGGCGTTGGTCCGCACAGTGCTGCGGGCGGGAGACAGAGAAGACATCACAGAGCCAGCTGTATGTGCTCTGCGTCACCTCACATCTCGACACCAGGATGCAGAGATGGCACAAAACGCTGTCCGGCTGCACTACGGCCTGCCGGTGGTCGTTAAGCTGCTGCACCCACCCTCACACTGGCCTCTCATCAAGGTAGCTGTTTAGTGTCTAGTCCACAAACGTACTCAGCCCAAAGCTGTTCAGCTGAACCGTGTTCCTCCTTCAGGCTACAGTTGGTCTAATCCGAAACCTGGCTCTGTGCCCCGCCAACCACGCCCCGCTGAGGGAGCACGGCGCCATCCCCAGACTGGTTCAGCTGCTGGTCCGAGCTCACCAAGACACGCAGAGACGCACCAGCATGGGGGGCACGCAGCAGCAGTTTGTGGTGAGAGCATCCTCCAGTGTCCGTGCTGATCACTGGGAGGTGGATCCCTCACCAGTAATGTGTCTGTTCTCAGGAGGGCGTTCGTATGGAGGAGATCGTGGAGGGCTGCACTGGAGCGCTGCACATCCTGGCCAGAGACCTCCACAACAGGGTGGTCATCAGAGGACTCAACACCATCCCACTCTTTGTTCAGGTAACTTTTTACACCCACGTAGATTTCACCTGAAGTTCATGTTAGCTCAGTTCAGATAGGCGCTTTAGAAATCCCAGTAATTAGACCGAGCCATCGTGTGTGTGTGTAGCTGCTGTATTCGCCAATCGAGAACATCCAGCGTGTGGCAGCAGGCGTCCTGTGTGAGCTGGCCCAGGATAAAGAGGTTGCTGATGCCATCGAGGCTGAAGGAGCCAGCGCCCCTCTCACAGAGCTGCTGCACAGCCGCAACGAAGGAGTTGGTGAGCACTTTTCTTACGTCGTGTAACATTTATCAGTCTTGTAGAGGCGTTATCTTCATGTGTGTTTAATTCCTCCTCAGCTACGTACGCCGCTGCAGTTCTGTTCCGCATGTCTGAAGACAAACCCCAGGACTACAAGAAACGTCTCTCTGTAGAACTCACCAGCTCACTGTTCAGGACAGAAATGGCCTGGAACGAGGTACCAGCAACTCCTACGGCTCCACATGAGTCTGAGTGTTTGTTTCTAAACTCGGTGTTTGCTGTGCAGACAGGAGACCTGGGCTTGGACATCGGAGCACAGGGAGAGCCTCTGGGCTTCAGACCAGACGGTAAGGAGCCTGTTCAGGTAGAAGGGCCTTGGTCTAGTGTGTGTGTGCGTGTGTGTTAGCGTTTAAATGACAGTACTACTGTGTGATGGTGTGTGTGTGTGTGTGGTTTGTTAACATGCTTCTAACAGCTGCTCTGCTTCCCTGCCTTTTCGTCCACTACCTGCTTCCTCAGACCCAAGCTACCGTCCCTTCCATGCGGGGGGCTACGGAGGGGACTCCATGGGTATGGAACCCATGATGGACCATGATTTGGGTGGAGGTCACCACCCAGCACAAGACTACCCCCCTGTAGAAGGGCTGCCTGACCTGGGACATTCCCAGGAACTGATAGAGGGCCTGCCAACTGGTGACTCAAACCAACTGGCCTGGTTTGATACTGACCTGTAAATACCAAGAGCAACATTACACTACACTTTCTACTAGGTAAGCCCCGCCCCCTCCCTCTGGCTGTTGCATGTTCAGAAGGCTCCTGTGTGACGGTGTCTGATCTGTGTGTGTGGTCCTCCACCAACCCCACGCTCACCCCCCCTCTCCTCCCTTTGCAGCTGTATCATGTGATCTGGATGAACCTGCATCGTGATTTTGCCCATATGGAGGAGGTGGGGTTTCAGAAAGTGCCTGAAGATGACTCAACAACAGCAGCAAGAGTTTCCTGTCTACAGGAGCTCCATTGGGACAAAGTAGATTAAGTGCGGTTCGGTTCTGGTCTCCCAGCTCCACCTGGGCCTGAACATAAACCTAAACATGAAACACGGATTTTGATCTCAGCAACCCTTTTTACCTTGTTTTCGTTACTACTTTGGTTGTTTTTACTTTTTTTATTGTTTTCTTTGAGGCTGTAATGGTACAAACGGAAGCTAGCTTGCTTTTTCCTCATTTTCCTGCATTATGATACTCGGTTCTTGTGTTTTATGTCTGCAGTAGTTTGATTTCTTTTCTAGTGGTGATTCTCAGTCCAGATAAAGAACTGGATGAGACTTTAATGCTGTTCAAACACTAAAGGTAATCAGCTGATCAAGTGTAACATTGTGTAGCTTTTGTATAAAACATGAATTGGAAATCATGGTCCAAATATTGAGCTATTTTCTTGCTTTAAAGGACGAGACTGACGTCTCTGCTGTTCCAAAGGGGGTTCAGCTGACCGAGAGGACGCGTGCTTCTATTGGTCTGCTGTTACTAAGGGGTGGGGTAGTGAGAGGCGCTGGTTGCTGTAGCCTGCTGTGTTCTGAAACAATAAAACGGACTGTCATTTCACCCACATGTCTGTCTCATTTTCAGATGGATTAGAGTTGGGATACGCCTCAAATTTAATGCTGGAGCAGTGGTTCGGAGTTCATACTAGAACCTAAAGGGTTAACCGAAACCTAGAACATTTAATAAACACGTTAGCCAACAGTTGGGCCACGTCCACTCTAAACGTTGAAGCAGCTTTTTTACTCATCTGTAGAAGTCTGAAACGAGCAGCATAAGCATTTTAAACGACTATTCCAGTTTTGAACCGGCCTCATCAGTCTGGCCAGAACTAATCTCCATTTCTCCAAACGAAGTCTTTTGAAGTGCTATGACGGTTTGTAACCATTCCTCAAACTACGGTGCTCCTGGTGAGGCCAGTCGCACACACTCCAGTCGTCTGACCCCCTGCAGGTGAGCGTGGACTCTGGATCTGGACTCAACTCGTACGTCATCCAGCTCAAACACAAAACCAGGTTTTACTGCTGACATTCTGACAAATGTTTACATTTAAAACATAAAGCAAAACCAAAAGTTGCTTGAACATTTATCAGCTAACCTTCAGACTGAACTGAGCTGGAAGCTCTGACCATGCCTCGGTACCGACACCCTAATAGGCCATGTAACGAGCCAATATTCTGTCATTAAAGCAGACGCCAGGGTAGGTGCTGCGAAGCCTGACAGGCCGTATGATGGCTCTTGTAACCCTGGGCAGTCTGCTCGTAGCAGCAGCTTTATTTATTACCACCATCAGTTCGGTCTGCTGATGATGGGGTCGTGTGGAGGGATGAATCGGGTCTGATACTTTTAGTATTTACTGGAACAGGTAATAGGACAACGTTTCTAAATGTCTCCTCTGTTTAACATGAACAACAAAAATGGCATCAAGCTGTTGAAACAAGGTTTCCATGACAACAAGACTAAATCATAAAGGTTGGAGCTTCTCTGGTTGGCTGGAGGATGGATGTTTTAGGAAAGAGATCTCTCCGAGGACTTCAGCAGCCAGAGAAGTCACGTCAGCATGGCACCTGAAACACATGAAACATGAAGGTTATAAACACGCCGGATTTCAGTTTCCATCTTCAGAAAAAGAAAACATTGCAAACGTTTTAAAGGCAGTGCCTAAGGACAGAGTCTCTACTCTTTGCAGATGATGTGGTTCTGTTGGCTTCATCACGGAGTTCAAGTATGTCGGGGGTCTTGTTCACGAGTGAGGGAAAGCTAGAGCGTGAGATCGATAGGCAGACTGGTGCTGCATCTGCAGTGATGCGGGTGTTGTACCGGTCTGTCGTGGTGAAGAGAGCTGAGTCAGAAGGTGAAGCTCTCGATTTACCGTTCGATCTATGTTCCTACCCTCACCTATGGTCACGAACTTTGGGTAGAGGCCAAAAGAGCGAGATCACGGATACAAAGCGGCTGAAAATGGATGGATGGAGTCACTGAACAGAAGTAATCCCACTACTAAACCAGACACCGCAGCCGTCAGAGCTAAAGGTTGTCTGTGGGTCCTGCTGCCATCTGTCCTCCACAAAGAGACGGCTCTAATGGTTGGCCACAGCTGATCAGAGAACATCCTAGAAGATGCGATGTCACCATTCATCATCAAGTAACTCAGATAGTTGATCTGAAGTCACTTCAGTGGTTTCAGGTTATTGTGAAACCCTTAATCATAACTTCCTCCCCTCTTGTCTTTAACCCAGGTGTCTGAGGGCAACACACACACACACACCTTCCTATTAATCTAATTAGAACAGCTCCCAGAGGTCTCGGAAACCCTTCAAAGTTTTGGGTTGATGGAGGTTTTGAGTCCCGGCACGGCTCAGAGGACAGGATATCAGCAAAGAGACACTTTATTCTAACGGGTTATGTCTGAACACCCGATAATCATCATCTGGTCTTTCCAGGATGGGTGGCACTCCATCAGCTGTTTGACTAAACATCACAGGTGTGTGTTTACTAAAGAGCAGCTTAGCGGCCATACAGATGTTAGAGACTAGGATCGGGCCTCGAGGCTTTTCTTTTGGAACAGAGACTCCCAGAAACGCCCCTCTCTTGAGGACTTTGAAAAGGCATTCCTCAGGTTGTCATGGTAAAGGCTCAGTGGCATCGTCTTCCGCCGCGGCCCAAACTCGTCTCAATTAAAACCTCACCCATCCCCTCTCATCCCTTCTTTCCTCGTCAGTCCTCTCATCTCCTGCCCTTTCCCCTAAAAACCTCCACGTCGCTCTTCCAGTGGGAGGGAGGGGGGGTGGCCACTTCAAAGGCGACGGCTGATTTGAGCTTTCATCTGCTGGAGGAAAAGAAAAGAGAGTAGACGGGGGAGGGAAGAGGAGAAGTGGGAGAGGAAGGACACAACAGGAGGAGTCAGGAGCTAGAGAAAGGGGAAGGAAAATGGAGAGGGAGAGCGTGTGGGGGTGTGTGAGGGAGACGGAGAGGAGGGGTCGCGTAAGAGCAGGCCGACAATACACCCTTAATATTGATCTGACCGTGTGAGTGTGTGTGTGTGTGTGTGTGTGTGTGTGTGTGTGTGTGTGTTTTTGTGTGTGAAAGCGAAAGAGTTTGTGCGTGCAGAGTGAAAGTGACTAATTGTGTGCATTCATGATGTGTGTGTGTGTGTGTGTGTGTGTGTGTTTGAGAGCGAGAGGTTGCTGATCTCAAACATCAAAAGATCAAAGGAAGAGTGGTCGCTACTGAGGAAACCATCAGTTCAAAGGGGAGCTAACACACACACACACACACACACACACACACACACACACACACACACACACACACACACACACACACACACACACTAATTATTGTGTTTTTGAGAAGAAAACCTACTTTAACTAAAGTGAAGCTTTGGTTTTTGGCCAACTGGACTGGAAAAAGTGACCAAATGTCGTAACAATGTCGAGATGATATTTTTCGGAGCTTTGAGGCTGACAGCCCGTCAGACTAAAATAAAACAGGAAACTTTTGACACGTATAAACCAGATATGTTCAGACATGCATGAAAATAATAAGACATGGAAGAAAACACACATCTAAAATTAAACTCTGAATAATTGGTTACTGGAAGCCTTTGAGGTTTCGACACCAGTGACTGGCTAAAGTGGAAATAACAGACGAAACTCGGACGCTGGTTTTAGACGCATCATAAAAACGATTTAAATGAGCCGACTTTGTTTTAGTGGAACGACCTTTCTGACTCTCAGTGACACGCCTGCACCTGTCCACAGGTACTCGGGCCCACTCAAACCGCTGCAGATGTTTCAACTTCCTCCACAGAGGTTCAACAGGATCTAAACATTTGAGTCATTGTCCTGTTGGACGACCCATGACCCGAGACACACACACCAAGCGTTCTGACTCTGGAGGACATAGTCGGGTCGTGAACAGATTCAGGATTTATTTTAGCTCCACCCATTGAGCTGATGGGGTTTACCAGACGGGTCTAGCTATTCTAGTTCCGTTTAGCTTTATTACATAGTTGTTTTACAGCGGCGTCTTCTTCAGTCGTTTTCCATCAAGTCCTCTTTGGTTCAAATAGGAATGGATGTGGAAATGACCCTGCTGAACTTTGGCCCTGGAGTTGCTCTGAGCTCCTTGGTCACTTGTCCTCTTGTGGAAACGTCCGGGGAGGTTGTCCACTGTCCTGTCCTAGGTGGTCTTCAACATGCTGTCGCTCTGATCTCCAGCTGCTTGTTATATAAATGTAAGCATGATCGGAGCTACGTGATGCTAGCAACCTAAACGGGTTTTCTTTTTTACGAGCGGGGACACAGAGTCAGACAACATCGAGCATCCCTACTGGTTTTTATTGATTTTCAGTACATTTGAGATGAATTACTTCAGTTATTTGAGTGACCACATACATGTCTTTAGCACCTATGAATGGCTTAGTACGGACGGGGTGAGACGCGAGTTGTGAAGCAGGGAGCTGCAGATACCTGATCTTTCTAGTTGTGCAGTGGGACGCTGAGCCTCGTGGTTTGATCAGGAAAACCTTATTATGACGAAGCAACTCGGGACGAGGGGAGACAGGACTAGAAGATTGGACAGCATGGTACGTGGACTCACACCCAGACACGGAGGATCGGCTCGGGCATCAGGAAGGAGCCAAAAGCAGAGTTATTGAGATAAAAGGAGCCAAGGACGATGGCTGATTTCACTTAGTCTGAACGTCTGACCTGAGAAAATCAATCAAACTTTATTTTTCCTACAAAGAATGCAACTCAAAGTGCTTTACATATTAAAATGACCCCACATAACCCTCATTCCCATCCCTCCCACAAGAATTCTAAAGCATTGGCACTGCCCCCCCCCCCCACACACACACACACACACAGACACAAGAACATTGGTACATTGGGCCGAGTTCAGATGAGCCAGATATGGTAGAACAACAAAAGGAGATGAAACTGATGACAAGTAGATTATAGACGGCACCTATGGAAACATGTAGGAGAACACTGGATCGGGGCAGAAGTTCATTTGTGACGGACTTTTACTTAATAATCGATCCTCCATGATTCTGACTAGTTTGGACTGAGCCTTGGAGAATCTTAGACTGGGCCAAGTGGCTGGAGCCTCAGATCATCTTTTGAGTTATTTGGAGCGTGTCATGGTGTAAGGTGCTGCTAAAAGAGGAGGGACAAAGGTCTACCGGGTCATTAGGGATGTGATAAGTAATCCAACGTCTCACAGGTTTTCCTGCTGTAGGAACAGAATTCATCAAATCTATAAAACATCGACATAAACACACGGACGGACAGCATCAGAAAGAGGCACCTGTTGGATGTAGCAATATCCTGCAGTAGAGTCCTTAGTCCCGCCCCCTCTGGACATTCTAACCAGTCAGACCGTTCTGTAGTTTGTATCTACAAAAGAAGAAAGAAAAGAACAGAGAAAGTAAAATGGAGCTCAGAGTGGGAACACTGGACCGGAGTATCATAATTATTCATGATATCATAGAAATGTTCAGAAGGTGATTTATTAGAGACTTACCCTTTCCCTCCTACATTTTAATGACTGTTTCCTTGGACCATCAAAGGTAAACAGAAACACCGAATTATGTCTTGTTGTAAATTAATGAAAGAAGAAAGACGATCAGCTTCGGCTGTAGTTATCACATGCTAATGCTAATCATCTGACTTAAAGACATAAGCACCGCCCACTCCTGTATCAATGCATGTTTATATGCTCCAAATTTCCCCATTCCGATTAAAATGTTGGTTGATCGGAAATCCAGAATCTGTTAACATGCACACTAACTAAAATGATCCGATCGTGCCGTGAGTTTATGAGCATGCGCAGAGTTGTCTTTCCCGGAAAAAAAGTAAACAAACATCATGAAACTAAATGAAAAGTGTAAAAACTTCCTGCTTTCCTGATTCATTTAATAATTTTAATGATTTTATTTTGCTAGAAGTTACGTTCAGTGAAGCCAGTAACACGTTACAAAGTAACTCGTTACTCTGATATAACGTCATTTCTTGGTAACGACTACTCTAACAGCGTTACTATTTCCATACTAGTAATTAAATTAAAGTTACTTATCAGAAAATCTGCATTACATTATCCTTTACTCTGAAGGTTTTATTTGCTTAGGAACTATGGCGCGGTATGGGGGCCAAAATTAAGAATACTGCCCAGCAGCAGGAGGCTATATAAATTCCGAAGCAAACTACCGATCTGATTAATGATAAGCTGGCGCCGGTAACTGAGAGGCTGGCGCTGCTTACGGAGGAATAGCACATTTACCGGTGTTATTACTAGATACGCTAGGGATTAGCAGCCCTCGTCTGGTCATTGACTGGTTCACTCCCCCCCTCTCCTGTCTATTAGCATGGATAGGCTAGCGTTAGCCTGGACGGGTTGGTGTTAGCGTAGTAGAGGCTGGCCATTAGCGTGCCTAGGCTGGCCACTAGCTGAATTTCCTACCTCCTCGACGGACCATTAGCATGGATAGGCTGGCGTTAGCATCGGAGAGGCTAGCCATTAGCGTGCCAAGGCATGCCACTAGCTGGATTTTCTACCCTCTTGACGGACCATTAGCATGGATAGGTTGGTGTTAGCATCGGAGAGGCTAGCCATTAGCGTGCCAAGGCATGCCACTAGCTGGATTTCCTACCCTCTTGATGGACCTTTAGCATGGATAGGCTGGCGTTAGCATCAAAGAGGCTAGCCATTAGCATGTCTCTGAGAGTCACTTACTCTACTAGATGCGTTTTTTTTTTACTTTTATTAAATGGATGACTATGCGACTATGAGACCTGTAATCACAGTTGTTCCTTTGGCAGAACGTGTTGTTATACACATTAACTTTAAGCATATTGTAAAGTGGACAGCCTGTTAGCATTGATTAGGTGCTGCGTTAACTCCATTTTGCAATTAATTACAGGTTGATGGCATTTTCATTTTATATAGTTTGGTTTTCTTGCACATATCAGAGAAAAAGCCAGAGCTAACTAGTTTGTACTTTTCATCTTTGGATTTTAAATCCTTGGTATTGAATTACAGGTTAATAATTATTAAAATTGTGATGTTATCTTTAGTATAACTATATAATATGTACCAAAAAAAAACACATCTAATAGAATAAGTGACTCTCCGAGACATGCTAATGGCTAGCCTCTTCGAAGCTAACGCCAGCCAATCCATGCTAAAAGTCCATCGAGGAGGTAGGAAATCCAGCTAGTGGCCAGCTTAGGCACGCTAATGGCTAGCCTCTCCAATGCTAACACCAGCCCGTCCAGGCTAACGCTAGCCTATCCATGCTAACAGACAGCAGAAGGAGTGTGTGAACCAGTCAATGACCAGCCGAGGGCTGCTAGTCAATTCAAATTCAAATTCAAAAATACTTTATTAATCCCAGAAGGAAATTGATTGCTGTAGTAGCTCAGAATAATAATACTAATCAAGTTATCAAAGAGTTGTTGTATATTACAATGGCTGCTGGCAGGAAGGATCTCCAGTAGCGGTCAGTGTTGCAGCGAAACTGAAGAAGCCTAGCGTATCTTGTAGTAACGCCGGTAAAGGTGCTATTTCTCAGTAAGCAGTGCCAGCCTCTCAGTTACCGGCACCAGCTTATCATTAATCAGATTGGTAGTTTGCTTCGGAATCTATATAGCCTCCTGCTGTTGGGCAGTATTCTTAATTTTGGCCCCCATACCGCGCCATGAAGAACATCCTGCGTAAAGGAAATGTAACATCGCAGAGAAGCCAAGATCAGGTTTGCATAAAGCTTTTGACCAATCAACACGTACTTTCCTTGCACAAGGGAAGCAGTATACTGCTACGCCAAACTATAGAACGGCACCGTGATGCCATTTGTTGCAATATAACTCTCACTCGTGCTGCAAAATTAAAACCAACAAAAAAAGCACAGCCATATTACTGAATAAATGACTAAAAACATCAAACACAACCCTGTAATAAAACCCCAACAAAACACACAATAAAGAAAATAAAACTGGAAAGCTGGCTACCCATAATGCACTCTGGAGCCGCATGTGGCTCTTTCATCCATCTGATGCGGCTCTCTGCTTGTAAAATAATTAATGAATATTTATGTAACGTTATGAAGTTCATTATTTTCAGCTCCACATAGCTGCCCCTTCACACAGTAACACCCGTGTAGAAAACGCCAAGGAGGGACCATATCAAACTGCACAAGGGTCCCACAGATTTGGCCGATACCAACAACAACAATCCACCGACTTCAAAAGGGGGGTGATATATACGTCCCGTTGGTTCCACAGGTTTCTATCTCTGATGACACAAATTTGTTTGTTTGTGAGTGTGCATGGTTGTCTTTCCTGTTATACGTCACGTGCAGACTTAAGGTGTGTTGAGACGGACGTGCTGTGGGCTCCTGGAGTCAGGTAAACGGCCAGGTAACAGTGAGTGGGTTAGGCCACATAGTACTGTTGTCCAAAATTTTGTTTTTTTTAATCTTTACTAATCAAAATTCCTTAGGGGTACATTAACATGAACATGAATTACTAACCACTGATTTACATTTTAGTACTGATTTACATTTCTGTATTTTTTATAGTACCTTTGACCAGTTGATTTAAGAGTGAATATTATGTTTGTGATTATCAATTCTTTGATTTATCCTACAGGGCTATAACCAATTTTGCCCCTGTCCTGACAGCGTGTATTTACAGTGAGGATTCACTGATACCAGTTAGGGTTCTTTCATTTTTCTGCTTCTCGCATCATCCTTTTTGCATCTCATACAGACAGGGCTGCATCCATTTCTTCACTTAATGGGTAATTACACATAAAACTAACACATAGTACAAAAGGCACTCATAGAGTTAGGTTTTTCATTTTTTTTTTGATGACATGAAATGCAATTTTGTCGTGTCTACATTGAAGTGCCTACACTGTGCTCTCTCTCCTCTGCTGAGCTCGTGAGGATCCTGCTTCCTGGGGGTGGATCCGTGACTCGTCATCTGCATCGACTCCTCCTCGGTGGTACTCCGGCTCGTTGGCCTTGGACGACCATGGTTCCGGCATGGCTGCTGGGACACCTCATTCGTTGGGATTACTGTCAACTGCTCTTCCCTTTTTGTGGATTATGATAAGTACTCTTTCATTGTTCAATTTTTATTTGGAATATTACCCTGCCTGCGGATAAAACAATCGATTTTTAATTGGAATACTACCCTGTTCGTGGATACGTACAAGATTTGCTCCTGCTTTGCTTTATTGCCCGTGAGGATATAAAATTGCTGTTGCTTCGTTTATGGCTTCCATGGGGAATAATTAATAACCTGCTGACTTGTGTTCTTCCTGAGGCGTATGCGAGACTGTTCTTCGGCGTGGGGTTCGTACCTCACCACAGATGGCTGTTCCCTTGGGATCGCATCCTGTTCTGTTGTCAAGATTCTTCATAACTTGGGTTTGTTCAACGACCAAGTGGTCTCTTGAAGGACCACATTGACCTTGAAAAGGGGGGATATGTAACGTTATGAAGTTCATTATTTTCAGCTCCACATAGCTGCCCCTTCACACAGTAACACCGCCAAGGTCGGACGCTTGGTTCAGTATGTTTACATTCCAGGAGAAGAGACAGAAGAACAGAAGAAGAACACTTTTCATGGGTTAATCAAAATACTTCATTTGTGATAAGCTAATCAAAGCATTTGTTGATCATTAATAATCAGGTGAATGATCTGTGAAATAAAGATGTCATGAGTTATGTGTTTAAATGAATAAACAGGGCTGCCCAGACACACTGATATGCATTACCATGGAAACGCATGACACATTGTTTTCAACCAATCGGAACTTTCGCCTGTGGTAGGGCAGAATCTGGTTTGTTTATGAAAATAGTCCAATCCGGTTTACTAAGATTCTCAAACAACTGGGAGATATAAAAAGAAGGCAACGCCATTTTAAGTCAGTTCCACGTTACGTCCGACTTTCAGCAGTTACGTAATAAACTCAGCTCCAGGACATCCTAGTTCCTAAGGATTTCCATCGTCATCATTAAGAAGTTCAGACTGGCCAGCTGGACTTCCTACTTTGAGCTGAAATCTGTCAAGCTGGAGATTTTCCGTCGTTTTTACCAACGAGACGACGGTCCTTCAAAATAAGAGTGAACTTGTTGACGCCTGCCGCTTCACCTGAGTCGACCCTTCAGACGGGCGTTGTTTGCTGTGACCACTGTCTCAACCAGCTCCAGTATCGCCGAAGGTCCGAGACCTGGCAATTCCTGATCTACACGGGAGACTCCATCTAAGGTACGGCAAAATGGCGGCTCATGTCATCAGCTTCTGAAGCCTCGTGGTAGCCTAGTCAAAACAACCAGATTCGCTACTCAGCCTAGAGATTCTGAACAAAACACACACACACACACACCAAA